TGATTTTTGTGGTGAGGACGTAGAAGAGGTTTTCTTCTGATGACTCTTCCATGAAGACCATATTTGTACAAGTATCTCTTTATAGTGGAATAGTGTACCAGATCTTTCCAGTGTCTGCCAGATCTTTCTGGAGGGATCGTGCAGTCAAATGTGGGTTTTGAATTGTTTTTTTCTCACAATCCTGCGAGCTGTTCTGTCTGATATTTTTCTTGGTCTTCAAGATCTTGCTTTAACTTCCACTGTTCCTGATGACTGCCGTTTCTTAATTACATTCCGAACAGAGGATATTGACATCTGAAAACGCTTTGCTATCTTCTTATAGCCTTCTCCAGCTTTGTGAGCATCAACTATTTTCAGTTTCAGTTTTCTAGACAACTGCTTCGAAGAACCCATGGTGCTGATTGTTGGGGCAAGGTCAGATGCGTCTGGGCATTTAAAACCTTTGGGATTGACATCACCTGGTCTTCCCAGATGATGATTGAGAACAATCCATGACACTGGCAGGTCCCAGCTTGGCAAAGGAGGCAGTGCATGCTATAATTTCTGCAGGGTGCCCAAACTTTTGCAGACGCCATTTTTTTGTTTTCTGTTATTTTGAAAGTGTAAATGATGGAAATAAAATCTAACTTTTGTTGACATATTATAAGAATGTCTAATCTGTAAATTTGATGCCTTTTGGAGATTTTTCCATCTTTCTTTGGCTTCTTTATGCACATTAATACAAATTTTTAGCTGGGGTGCCCAAACTTTCGATCCCCACTGTATCTATGATCCAGTGGGGACGAGTCTTGGTGCAGCTCATCAATATGGGTGATACACCCATTGAACTTCACAGGCATGCTATCCTCGCTGACATATACGCAGTCCCCCAACACTGCAATTCTGAGGCCCAACCGAGGGGGTGCAGGTCGTATTTGCTCACCTACAGGTAACTATGGCATCCTGTGACTAAACCCAATAAAAGGTTGCTGCTAATACAACTGGACATCCCTGAACATTTCCCAAGCCCAACAGAGACTACTCCACAAACTACTGGAGAAGCATCTTCTAGTGTTTACCACTAATCTAGAGAATTTTAGGTTCACCAAGGCCATTGACCACATAATTCATACCGGAGACACACCACCTATCCAAAATCAGTACTGCCACATTTTCCCAGCTGGGGCCATGTCCTGAGATCAAAGCATCAACTTTATTTGAGTTACTGCACAAGATGTAACTTAGAAAGGCATTCATTTTGGGCATTGGGACCATGAGTCAATGGTCCTCACATATTTGGAAGTGGGTTTGAAGTGGGACCAACCCATAAAGTGGGCATGCCTAAGCAGAAAGTGCGTGGATGAAATTTGCACTGTGGGAAGGTAAACAGTGTCCCGGAATCCAGAACCATAATGTAGGTTAGTGTGCTGTATCTACGTAGTTGGGATGAAGAAGCTTTGGTAAGAAGGTTGTGGCAGGTTAGAAGAAAACATGGCCTTCATTCCGATCGCTTTCACTCTTTCCTAACATCCTGTTCTTGCTACGAACCTAAAAGTAGACCAACCATGATGAAAACAGAGATGATGCTACTTGAGAGTTAGTTTGAACATTGATACTTCCATGGCTGTAAAGATTATCCTCTTACAGTATTTAGTGAGTCACTGACCTGACATAAAAATTAAAAAAGAAGTCTCATCAATCTGTGTTAATGTGTTCTGTTCCCCAGGGGACACAGTACATGTAGCACTTTGTCCCATCTTCCTAAGGTCCATAGCTATCCCTGAGTCCATGCAGGTTCACCCAATCTGCTCACTGTGTGTGTACAAATGGTGGGACAAAAGTCCCAGACAGAATCCCCCTTGTCCAACATAGCACTTACTCCTCTAAAGGGTGGGGAGGTACATCTTCACAAGGACTTGTTTTCTGGTTCCATGGTTGTGGGCTATAGCTCCGATGACTAGAGCCTTTGTGACGTTGCTTAGGTCACCTGCTGTGTGTTCCATGGTTGAGGGTCCTCATTCACAACCAGGGTAGACCTCTTTTCACTATCCACCACCAACTCCTGGCCTAACCAGGTTTACACAGTGCACCTTACATTCAGGGTCTTGTCAACCTGCACCCCTGTAGAATGTCCTGAGTGCACCTGTTCAGCCCTTTTGTGGCCTAACTGTGTACTGGTCCACTTTACGTAATTCCACTTAGGTAGTCAGGCATCTTCCCCAAATAACTCTCCACTCAGAAGCAAAGTCTATCTTCTTAAAATTAGCAATTAAAATGCACAAAGTCCAAACATTGGCAAGACAATAAAGGCACTTTAGATTTCGAATTTAGTAAACCATCTCTTCAGGTACAAAGTTAAGTCCTTGCTCCCTTCAGGTCAGTGCTAGATGTCTAGTGATTCAAGGCTCATAGCTAGGGAAGCCCACTTGGGGAAACCAAATAATGTTCCACCTTCTCTCTGCTGCATCCTTCTTCTCCAAGGTACACAATTCTCCTTCCTCCTAGGCTCCACTTGCCTTCTATATGGGGATTCTGCAAGAAGGGCAGGAAAAGCAGGTCACATCGTGTTAAAAAAGGGGTCCTTAACTAGGAAATAAGTTAACCCCTTCCTACAGGCTGTCCAAGGCTAGTGAGGTCAGACAGGGCACCTCTTATCCCCTCCCTCCTCCTACAATACAGCTACCAAGGAGATAGGGGCTTTGACAAATGGCACTCCTCTCCATGTCCAGAAACTTGCCAAAAGGCAAGCATGTCACAAGTGTGCAGCTAGAAGGGGCTTATGGAGCATGTGCTGGGTGGGGAATTGGTGCTAGTTGGGATGTTAGCGGGGGGTTTGTGATAGGAGGGGGAATTCGGGGGGAGGAGGATTTGTGCTGTGGGGAGCGGGGGGGGGGGGGCATTTGTGTTAGTGGGGAAAATTAGTGGGTAGGATTTATGCTAGAAGAGGGGATGGGGGGAGGATTTTTGCTCAGAGGGGAAGTTTAAAGGGTAGTGGATTTGTGCTAAAATGGAAGATTGGTGTGTGTGTGTGTGTGTGTGGGGGGGGGGGGAAAATGGGGATCAAAGATATGTGTTTGGGAGGGGGATTTCAGCAGGGAGGATTTGTACTGGGAGGAGAGGGGATTTTTGTTAGTTTGGGGAGAATTTTGTCTTGCAAAGGGATTTTATGCTTATCATGGGGATTAGAGCTTGATTTCTTTTTTTTTTCAGGGGGGGGGGGGGGGATTTGTGCTGGGGGAGGATTTGTGCTTGGAGGGGAAATTTGAAAGGTAGTGGATTTGTGCTAGAGTTAATGATCTTAGGGGGGGGTAGGGGGCTAGGGTTGCGCTAAGAGAGGGAATGAAGGGAGGATTTGTGCTTGGAGGGGGAAATGTAAAGGGTTGAGGAGGGCTAGAATAAGTGATTTTAGGGGGGGGGGGGGGGGGGGGGGGGTGGGGGCAGGGTTGTGCTAGGAGAGGGAATGAAGGGAGGATTTGTGCTCGGAGGAGGATTTCAGAGGGAGGATTTGTACTGGGAGGAGGGGGAATTTTTGTTTGGAGAGAATTTTGACTTACAAAGGGATTTTATTCTTAGGGGGTTATATCATGTGGATTAGAGCTTGATTTTTTTTTTTTTGGGGGGGGGGGGGGGATTTGTGCTGGGGGAAGATTTGTGCTTAGAGGGGAAATTTGAAAGGTAGGGATTTGTGCTAGAATGAATGATTTTAGGGGGGTAGGGGGCAGGGTTGTGCTAGGAGAGGGAATAAAGGGAGGATTTGTGCTTGGAGGGAACATTTAAAGGGTAGAGGGTTTGTGCTAGAACGGAAGATTGGGGGGGGGGATTTTTTTTTAGGAAGGAGAGGATTTGATCTGGGAGGGGCGATGGGGGACAAAGATTTTTGCTGGGAGGGGGGATTTCATCAGGGAGATATTTGTACTGGCAGGAAGGTGAATTTTTGTTTGGGGATAATTTTGGCATGCGAAGGCAATGTATGATAAGGGGTTCAGTCTGCAGAATAGTGCTTGATTTTGTTTTTTTTTTTGGGGGGGGGGGGACTTTTGATGACACATAATGCTCATACATCTTGGGGGGGGCAGAGTTTAGCATATTCGCCCTGGGAGCTAGATGACCTTGTTCCGGCACTGCTGGTGACCATTGTCTCCAGTACAGAAAGTGATGGAAAACCCATCACAAGAACAGGAAGATGCCACTGCTAACCTCTCCTTTTAATAATGCCAATTGCCTTGCCGTCATGCTGATCCAGTAGCCTCAATACTATCCAAGGGTGCAGCTCAGGATCTATGACTTTTCTTTGACTTTCCTTGATCCGTGTGCCTATTCCAGTTCTGTGACTTTATTTTATCTATTACAGATACTTCTATATCGCCGTCAATGTACGCAGCGCTTTACCTATATATTGTACATTCACATCGTACCTGGACTTGGAAAGTACGGAAGTCCGAGTGCCTGCATGAGAGCCAGATGGCGAGCGTTTTCGGAATTAGGTCTGCAATGACACCGCCTTATGTCAGTTTTATACTAAAGACTTGTATCGGGTCATGCGGCCCAACTCTTTTTATCCGTGTATTAAATTAGCCCCTTCATAGCGCAGCAAATAACCCCCCCCCCCAACCCCCCCTTCCTATACCCGTGAATTGCCATTGCTGTACAGCCAATTATTAGCAAGACGCGCACAGACAGAAATAAGGTCATATTGTGGTTGCTTTTGCAATGGTGTATTTTGTAATGCGAGTTGCCTTGGTTAGCAAATCAATGACACCGCCTTCTGCTTCTTAGTAAAATATTAGATTATTGATTTGAATTCCTCGCCGTTTAATGGTTATTCAGAAGTGGCTGCCTTCAAACTATTCCCAATCTTTGATTAAAATAAATAGCACATCCCGGAGAATTTTACTGCAGTGCTGTTAAATCTGCATCGAGCTAGAAATGGAATTGTCTGCACAGAACGGAGGGTCGTTGGGCTGTGTTATGGGGGCCTTGAAGGGGGGGACATGGAATTACAAAATGTAGATAGGCTCTATCAGGGGCGGACTGACCATTTAGAAACTCGGGCACAGCCCGAGGGCCCGGGGTCAGTAAGGGGCCCCATGAGATGCCCCTGGTACCTTTTTCATAGGCTTTTTTTGAGTTTGAGCAAGGACACAGGGGCCCCATGATCCCCTATTGCCCGGGGGCCCCATGAGTTGTCAGTCTGCCCCTGGGGGCTCTATACAGGACTGAAGGGTAGGAGTTTCAACATTCTGCCTGGATTCACACTTGTGCGGTGCGGTATATCGCACCGCATTCCTGTACAAATCACATATGTATTCTGTGGGGGGCGATCGGAGACGTACATTTTATATAGCTCAAATCGCACCGCATCCGCGCCAAAAAGGTTCAGGACCCTTTTTTTGTGTCTGCATTAGAATGAGATCGCATGGTTATTCACGCCCACGCGATCAGATTTTGCACATCGCACCGCAATTTGCGGACCGATTTCGGGGTGTTGTTAACTTAACCCCTTCACGCTGGCGCCTCCCGGCCCTTTAAGGGTTTCTACATTTTTTGGGATGCATTTACCAATATATGTAAAAATATATGTTAAAATTACTTTTTTATATGTAATAAAAAAATTTTAAGAGTATATTTAAAAACAATATATTTTTAAAAATATTTTTCATATATTTTGCAATATATCAAAAACGCACTTCAAATGCAGTGTTTTGTTTTGTTACTGTATTGTCTCATGTTCTGTCCCCCACTATAATGTACAGCGCTGAGCAAACCTTTTAGCACTATATAAATACTGTAAAATAAAAATAATAAAAAATGCAATATATATATATATATATATATATATATAAAAATATATTGAATACGGCCAAAATTGTAGTATTTCAAATATATGTCAATATATTTGGGAAGAATATATATTTTTTAACTATATTCTTCAGATTTTTTTTAACATATAAACAAGTCATTTTAACCCCTTGGTGCCGGCGCCTCCCTGCCCTTTAAGGGTTTCAGAAGCCGGGAGGTGGGGAGGGGTTTTAGGGTCATGTGACCACCGTGATTCGCTGTCACGGCAGTCACATGATTGGGAAAGGTCCCAATCGAAAGAGGAGATTGGGACCTTTCCGTGAGTACCGGACATGTGTGCTGGGAGCGAGCAGGGCGCGCGTTCTCAGCACATATGTCCTTTTTTAATAGAATGCAAACGTGCGGCCGCTCGGCGGAGGCCGCACATTTGTGTTCGGCCGGCATGAAGAGGTTAACATACACACCCGCATCGGTTCGCATGAACAAGGTTCGATGGTGATGCGGTGTGGAATTTGCACAGAAACCGGTGCGAATTCCGCACCACATCAGTGTGAACCCGGGCTAAGAAGGCAAGATCCAATCAGAAATGACCTTAAATCAAATAGAAACCTGATTGCTAAAATCTCCTATAAGCTTTAAACAGGTTGATGTCATTTCAAAAGCCATTTTCCAATATTATAAATTGTTTTAGTTAAAAAACCGTCTGGTGTTGTTCCTTCCATCAGGGGCGTCCCTAGGGTTGGTGTCACTTAGTGACACCCCCCTCCGATGATCCCTGAATAATTGATCGGATCTGCGGATTGAGCATAATGGATCGGACTCCGATCCATTATGCTCCCCAATCCGCAGATCCGATCCATCCTGCGGAGATCGTTGGCTTTCTTTACAACTTACTTTTTCGTGGAGCGGGTCCGGTGTCACCTGTATAGGTTGCGTGTTGATGATCCCCGCAGGATGGTTCAGATCTGCATATTAAGCATAATGGATCGGAGTCCAATCCATTATGCTCCACAATCCGCAGATTCCTTACATTCTGCACCCCCCCCCCCCCCCCCCCACACACACCTGCCTCGGGACACCCCTGTTCCTGTCTAAATTGGCCCTAGTCAGTGGTGTATTTAGGTTTCATGCTGCCCTAGGCAACACAAAAATTGGCTCCCATCCCCACGGAGAGACCCTGACACCGACCAACATCCACCTCTCCTACGAAGAGAGCCTGAGGTTGACCAAAAACACCCCAGCCCCACCTAAGAGAGCCCACCCCACCCCGGCAAGAGATAAGACACTCATCTTCACAGCTCCGGATATCCTCAGGAACAAGAGTCAGGCTCTGCATACACCATCAAGCAGCCCACTGGTCTGGTCTCCATGCTGCGTGTGTCCCCTCTTCCTTTCCTTCTTTTCGGGGATGACGCTGCCCCCCTGAAAAATGCCGCCCTAGGCAAATGCCTTGTTTGCTTTGTGGTAAATACACCCCTGGCCCTAGTATGTGTATGTATGAATGTGAGTTAGGGACCTTAGATTGTACACCCCTTGAGGGTTAGGGACTGATGTCAATGTACAATATATATGTAAAGTGCTGCGTAAATTGACGGCGCTATATAAGTACCTGAAATAAATAAATCAGCTAATATCCATAGACATACAATATTCATCCACATATATTATACCCCTCCCCCGCATATGAAACTTTTAAAAAGCCTGGATTTGCTGTGAGCTCAGACGTACCTGTTTTCTGTAGACTTCTGATACATTCATCCATTTTTTGGTGTTCATTCCTTTGCTTCAAAAGTCTGTTCTCTCTTTAGCTCCTGCGATCGGAGAGTTTGCTCCTGTGGGATGAACACAAAGCCACTTCTTAGAAAACTTTAGAATCCCGAGAAATAAACAGAAACTCCGGTTTTATTTTCTGCATCGTCTCTCAGTTTCTGCTCCATGCTCGCCTACACAACTTTCTTATTTAGTTTAGATCTCAACTCAAAGATCACTGCCCCCCCCCAGCTCCAGTGCAACCTCCGGCATGAGTAGCATTACCCCCTTAGGAGTTGCTGAGTTTTGGGTCCCTCTATAGTCCTCCATAGCCAGGCAACACGCATTTTCTTCAACACGTGCACACTGGAGGCAGTAAACAGTCCTTGAGCTTGTTTTTTTGTGATTCTGTTAAGGGGTAATGAGCTTGAATGGAGTTAAGGAGGCAAACAAGGCATTTGCCTAGGGCGGCACTTTTCAGGGGGGCAGCGCTGCCCCTTTGGAAGAAGGGATGGAAAAAGGGACACACACAGCATGGGGACTAGGTGGGATCCGAGAGAGGCTGCGGGCTGCTTGACAGTATATGCAGAACCCCGACTCTCATTCTTGTGGATGTCCTGAGCTGTGAAGGTGAGAGTCTCTCTCTCTCCAGATGGGGAAGGCGATGTATGGGGGGCAATGGTAGTGGGAGGCTCTCTCGGGTGGGGGGGGGGGGGGAGGGGCAGGGGTGTTGTTGGTCAATGTCTCAGGCTCTCTCCTCTGCGGGGTTGGGAGGGTGGCGTTGGTCAGTGTCAGGCTCTCTTTCCAGGGGGGGCGATTTTCATGGTGCCTAGGGCAGCACAAAACCTACTTACACCACTGGGTTGAGGAGTGTATGGAATGCCCAAGGAAATGTGAACTTGAGGACAAATCTCCTTAGCAACTATGTATGAGTCCATAGACAAATAGTCTCTCCTTGAAGAGCTCCTCAGACCCCAGATGAATCCTCCTCTTCACCCAGCTGCCTGAGGGAATCCCCGAGCAAGGGGACCCAGAAACTGCCACTGTAGTAAAGCAGCCCCCCCCAGATGAAGAGCTAGTTGGGTTTGCGACCTGACTGCCTTCTCCCCTTATCCGGCCCAGGGGGTGCAGGATTACCCATTCAGACATCTCCTGTAAACTTTTTGGGTTGATGGCTGCCTTCAGCCTGGCTCCTTCCTGCTTCCGAGGTTGTTCTCTCTCAGGGGATTGTTGAGGCTTAGAGATCCTCCTTCCAAGATCCTGCCTGCAGGTAGGCCCCTCCTTGGGCCCCCTCCCAGGCTCCAGCCTTCTCACATCATCTTCCACCCGACACTGACCACTTCCTGATCAGGCTCTCCCATACGTAAGTGCTTGCTCTGACACCATGCCAAGCCTCCAGCTTGGGGAACGGTCAGAGTCCCCTGAGTAGATCAGCTGCTCCTCACCCCCACCCACTGCCCTCTAGAAACTTCTCAAGTTTCTAGAGTAGGGGGGACTATCAGGGAACTGACGTGCAGAGTCCTCAGCCCTGACCTAAAGTTACCTGGCTGACTCATCCCAGGCTCACTCATCCCAGGCTGTTATCCAGCCTCTAACTAAAAAACCTAGCTAGCTCCCCCTGGCTAACTAGAGGGGAACTACACATGATATATGTATGAACAAAGCATATCCCTCTAATGCAGGGGTAGGCAACCTTAAAGAGGTGGTGTTCTACCTGAACAACATGGGAGAAGTCAAAGATCACTGGGCACAGCATTGCCTCCTGACACCTAATTTAAACCTCTAATTGCCACAGTACCGTGTCGCAATAGAATGCATTAAACCGCAATCATGGGTTTAAATTAGGTGATGAGGAGGCAACATATCACCTCCTTACCACCTGTGAAATGCACTGGGTTTGCTTTGCAGAGGAGCAGCAGTGCCAACTGCACCTGTGAACAAGCCCTTAGTTGTAATCAGCAGCGTACCCTAAGGGCTTGTTCACAAGTAAAGTTGTGTGGTGGTAAAACCCTGCGGTTGAATAATGGTTTTACCAACCCCCGATCCTTACCCCCTTTAGCTGCTGAGGCAGCAGCCAAAAGATGTACAGATGCCGCAGCAAGAATTACACCTCCTGTTGCTTTTGGTAGGTGCTACCGCCTGTCAACCAAGACCCATTCAAATCAATGGGCCACTTTGCAAGTGCCCTTTAACTGCATGCTTCTGGGGGGTCCAAGGGCTTAAAGCAGGTGGTAAGAAAGCAACACACTGCTGCCTGATTAACCCCTTGTTTGCTGTACTGCACAAGGTTGCAGGGCAATTGCAGAGCGGCCTCACTCACTTGAATGGGTCATGCGTGTGATACATCCACCAACCATGACAGGGCGTGGGAGCAGCACTACAGAGGAGACATCAACTTATGCCCATGCAGAGCTTAGGGAGATCCATCAAATTCAGTGGCTCTTAAGGGAGTGAGTGCTACACAAACCTCAAAATTGGTTTACAATGAGGCCCAAGACCTGGGTCTACTGGGTTTACAAAGAGACTTGAGACCCGGGTGTAACGTGTTTACTAAGAGACCTGAGATCTGGCTCTAACAGGTTTACAAAGCAAACCGAGATTCAGGTTTATCGGGTTTACTAAGAGACCCAAGATTTAGGTCTACTGAGTTTCCAAAACAGGCCAGAGA